TCAGCAGTGTCAGGAAAAGCAGATGAAATTACTTAATACAGTAATATTTATGCATTTAATATTTCAAAAGTCCTAATTAGGATAGAATAAAGCATTTAAGAGTAAAAGAAAGGATAAAAAATTCACAGGCTCCTGCTTAACTCACTGTTCTCAAGTAACAAAGTAAGACTGATTCTAATATCAGATCACGTTTTAAACAGTCCATTCCTCTAGGGATTCTTGATTCTTAAGTTAAAACCTAAGATACTTTGAGGAAAACTAGACTTAATGTTGAGTCATACCAAGATTTTTGTTAAATCATACTTTAAAAGGGGAGAGGAGCTACATTCAGAAGTAAAACCTCACAAAAGAAGAAAAAAACCCTTCGAATCCTTTGTTTTCTGTTTTTGCTATTTGTAATAAATTCATTTTACAAAGTCATTTCTCCAGAGAGACTTTCATTTCCAGTCATTAATAATTACCCTAATATTTTATTTTCCATGCAATACTATGCAGAGACATACGCTATTGACTTCGTGCTACTCTTGTACTATGAACTGAAGAGTAAAGGTTTTATTTTCCCACCTCTGGTTACAGTTGTTACTGTACAGATCTCCTGGGGGTAGTTAACATATATTTAAGAATATGTTCTTTACTAATCTCAGAGTGGTTATGAGATTGCTGACTAAATAGATGTGAGATAAATCTAGAGGCCATCTATCCCAATATAGGTTAGAAGCCAAGTTCATTAACCTACAGAAGCAATGAGGTATGTGTGTTGGGCTCTTCTATTTGCATCAGGATAAAATCAACTTGAAGTATCACAGGTGTTCATTATGACATCCATCTCGCCCCAGATATGAATTCTCTTGAAATATTGCAAAGAAATATGTGGAAAAAGTAGTAATATCAAGTGACTCAGAATTGGTGGTCACTAAGATTAATATTATCTTCTGTCAATTTATTCGCTATCTTTCTTTTTACTTGGAGTATATGTGAAGTATTGGGCATGTATTAATAATTGGCACAATTCATATTCATCAACATTGTCCTTAATAATTCTGATGCTGTTTCTTTCTCACAGAAATAAAAACAATAATTTTAAACTTCTGGAACAATACAAATATGTTTAAAATCATTAAGGGTTTGGTTATTAAATATCATATTCTGATAAGAAGTTAAGAGTTTAATGTTTTAAATAAAACGTGAAAATTAAATAAGTTTGAGCTTTAAGGGATAAGATTGTCAGAGTCTTTTGACACAGTCAATTGCATCTAAATATATTTTCTTGTTTATATTCCTAAAATAATAAACATGTAATGAAGTAAACATGTGATGAGTTTTCTATTGATAGTTATCTATTAGTCATATAGATACCCTTAAACACAAAAAGTCTCCTTCCTTTACAAATTTAACCTATAGCAATAAAGAGAATCCAGCAAGTTTGCATTTCAGTTGATTTTTTAAACGTTAGTGGTAAAAATTGTTCTCATAAATAGATATGTGTAAATATATTAAAGTAGTGCCTTTAGTTTAAAAGGTTCTATTAATTAGATTAAAAAACAGCTTTGATAGTTGTTCTCAACCACACAAATAGAACAGAAAAATTTGTAAGAAATACTTCAATGTACAATACGTTTATTTCCCTAATGTTTTATAAACATTTTTATTCCTATTTACTATGCAGACTAAAAGTTAAAGCGGTTTCAAGTTAAAAAAAATCATTTAGTAAAACTTCTGATATATATCTGGAAGATGTAACTAACTGAATATCCACATAGCAACAATATATTAAAATGTTATAAATAACATTTATAGAGGATATATACTGCTAAAAACTCTTTTTTCATATTTATCAATTACTGATTATGAAGGACACAGGCATTTTTTAGTACAATTTTATCTTTCAAATGGAAAAGTATGATATTTTTATTTATATGACACAAATGTCTATTTAAGAATTCTGCTTTAAACGTTGAAGGCTGAATTACTTATTGCAGAAAAATTTGAAGTGGTTTATAATTTTAAAATAGTGGACCCTTTGGAATATAAAACAGTTTTTTAAAATTCAAGATTTAATAATAGTCATTTAATTAAATGTAGATTTCACTAGGCTCTTGGGAATAAGAACTAAAAAGTGATTACAAATTATGAAATGCATTCTTGTTAACAAGCGACAGTTTTACTGGACCAGAGAATATTACTATAATAATATAGTATATTATATATAGAATATATAGAATATTACTATAAATAAACTCCATAATAAATAAATAAATAAACAGCAACAAACAGCAAGCTTCAATTTTAATTTGGAAGGTACTACAAGCTAACTGAGTAACATTACTTGAGTAACCGCCTTCCCAATCCTTTGTTTTCAGTTCTGTTAAACAAATCTGCATACTACTCTATAAAAAATAATAGATCAGCTATTTAAATATGTAATTGTTATCTGTGGTTTTTCATCCTGACAAGTATCCAGCATTCTCCCAATGCCTGAACTATCTGGAACCACTTAGCCCTAATATAAACTCATGTTGTCTAATTTCAAAAGGTCTTTTACAATTGATTCCTATTCCATAGCTTATATTCCTCCTAATTACTATTCTACACCTTTATCCTCTTCAACCATTCAATCCCATGTATTTTATCTTCCTTTCAATTGATAGTTTTTATTACTTGAAAGAAATCATGATTTTCCAGAATGAGCTTCCTTATCTACTACAATTGGCCTCATTTCAACCTGTTCAGTTTTCCAAACCACTTTTTTCCCTATCTTCTCATTCTTTTCAGTGTAGACAAAATTGTGATCTCCCGCTCAAACTTCCTACTCTTCAGGGGCTAGGACCTTAACACCCTAAACTATTATCTCTCCACCACTCCTGAGTCATTTTGTTCCCTTAATGATCTCATCTGTATTTGGCATCTCCAATTTCTCTACCTTTTCAAGCTCCTTTTTATTCTTTAACATTAGCCATTCGCACTTTAGTAGCAGGGGTTATGTGAGTCTCTCTGATCTAACTTGTATTTTACTCCTTTTATATCCACAATTTCAAGTCAGCAGTTCCCACACTTCACACCTTTTTTTTTTTTTTTTTTTTTTTTTTTTTTTTTTCC